GTGTTCCTTTTTTTTTTTTTAACTTTTGTGTTGTCATCCAATACCTGCTTTTTGGGGTTTTTTTTTGCATTACTTCATGACCCATTCTCTTTTAAATTTAATGTAAAAGCAGTTTCCTATCAGACTCAAGCATATTCAGTTTCCCAACATGAACAGAAATGTTGTACCACCTGGTACTGCAAATTTCCGCTGGCACTCAGGGTTCAAATTGGCTGTGCCGCCCAGCACGGATTTTCCAAAAAAGGAACTGAAATATTACTGAAAATGCAGAGATGCCAACTTGTACGATTTAGGCGTAATTTTTATGGTTTGTTTTGTCTATTTACGACTGTATGATCCAGACTTGGATTTTTTTATTTCCAACACGAAGGTACAAAACCATACGTGTATAAACTCTATATGTAAGCTACCAGTAGCATGGAACTGGCCTCGTAATGTGAGCATCAGAAATGTGTCGCTGGCATCCCGCACTTTGTGCACAGACGCTGCGTGGGTAGTGATAGAAACCAGCATGGTTGAATCATCCGTTCGCCCCGATTAACACTATAATGAACAGGGGGCAAATAAGAATGATCGCAACGTGATTGTGTACGTCTATATGTGCATTGTACATGTATACATGCACCGATATCGTACACACGTGTGTCGAACATCATGAACGTGCTAAAGTTGACTGGAGTGGGAGGACTATCGAGGATTTGATTCTTGGATATTTGGTGAGCAACTGGACTTGTTTCGCGCCGTGGCAACAAGTGAGCAGAAGTTCAGGGACGAATACAAATGGGCCATTGCATAGTCTTGTTGTGGAGAAGCTTACGTATTTTGCAAAGCATGTACATTTATTTAACTGTGACATGATAAACATTGCCCATGTTAGATCTTACCACACCGAGAAGAAATTAGTTAGGCCAAGAAAAAAATAGTGCTGCTTCTGATTAAATAGGGTCAATAGACGATAGGTAAAGTTTTTTTGACAATTTTGGGGGGTCAATTGATTGGGATGAAAGTTGCCAAAAACTGCCCCAACAGTGATTAAAATAAAAAATTACCAGAATTAATGCGGAAATTTTACAATCAACAATTACAATTCACACTTGCACAATGCTCGTCAGGTAATTCCAAGTGTTTTAAAGTGACAAGAAGTTGTTGACAGGTGTTTGTTTTGAAAGAAAAGGCAGTAGGATTTGTAAACACTTTTTCTAATTTGCCGATGAAAATTCTTAGGGCTGAACCAAAAAATTAGGGTTGGGTGGAAAACCGGAGCTGAAAGTGCGATAGGATTACAATTTCATTTTGAAAATTTGACATCTTTGATTAAATGTACCAACTACCAATTTGATCGTATTTCAAGCATCAGAAAGCATTGAGAACTGCACCCATTACACTTCACAACCCAAAAATTTACCCCGCACTAAAATGGTCCTTGCTAGAACACTGCTGAAGGCTGAATTAAAGTGCGATGGGTCTAGAAATTGATCCCCTTCAGTGCCTGCTTTTTTCCTCATTTCAGAATTAATGCCCTCTGCAAGACAGCTGTTGGCATCGCTGGTCATTCTGTCCACGAAAAGGGGCTCCTTACACTTAAAAATTTTGTTTCCACACTGAATTCCCCCCATCCCTCATCCCCCATTGTAATTTTCTGGGCGTGTAGCACTACATGAATTGCAACATGAGTATACACGTTTCTTGCTGCATTTGCGTAACATTTGATTTGAACATTTACAAAGTTTACTCTCATGGTGGAACATTATCACCATTTCTTGGTGCTTACATTCTCACATACTACATCCCTATTTTGTGTTGCCGTCACAAATGGTGTTTTCCTCCAGCAGTTTGTAAGGGGGTTGTTGTATTACTTATCTAATTCTACAGTAATGGGCCTGTCCCCGCCAAAGCCCTGTAACTGTTGAACGTCTTTAATCAGTTTCCACTAGTCACCCATATTTTCAACATTTCCATTGATCAATGTCCCCACAGTTACTTGCTATTTTCTGTAGTCTAGGGATTTAAGGAACAGTTGTGCCCATGGCTGTCAAGAGTTTTCTTGCCTGGTTGCTACAATACCCCTGTTGAGGAGTCCAACCAGGAAGACCGTGTTTGGAGTAGCTGTCCTTCTACTCCTACCGGCTTGAGACATCTCACGGAGTATAGCTTCTGTCTTCCTGTTGAGAAGTGACACTTCTTGCAGCACTTCTGAAACAGCAAGGCTCAGATGCATTTCCTTCTCTGGGTCAGGCCGTCCATCACGGGCAGGCTTTTCATGCTGATGGTCCATTGTGGCTTGAACAGTAGTGTCAACTGTAGTGCTGATATTGACAAATGAGTATCCTCCAGGGTTTACGTTGTCTGCCCCTAATGGTCATTATTTCTTCCACATTTGGTCACAGTACCATCAATTTTATGTGTTACTTGTCTTAATGACTTCCGTCCAGTAGCTCTGACCTCTGTTGTTATGAAATGTATGGAATC